CACCTTAAGAAGATATAGTAGGATTCAAGATCACAAATATACAATGTAACGCACTGAGTTTACACAAAATATCTACCCTATGGATAGAACTACAGCTTGCCAAACAGCATAACAGCATCTGGCAAACAGATGCTGAACAGCATCTCATTATTAAGAATTTAGGACGAGCAACCTGATCTTTCTTCTCCTGAAAAATACTGAATATTTCTACTAAAAAATTTGTAACAATAACTGATAATAAAAGCATTATCCCAACTCTACATGCTCCCATCTGCTAATGTCATTGCTTCACATAGTAGTTTATTAAAAGTCACAATACTAGAATGAAAATTTAAATCATAATTAGATTCAGTATTAATTTGTAACTCATTCGACTGTGGAAAACTTGCACAAATGTGCACATTCAACATTAAAGCTATGGTTCATGACAGAAGGTGTTCAAAGCATCATTTTTAATTGGTAGCAAGTGTGAGAGATGACTGAGATAATAAAACACTTTTTTTTGCCACAGAAATAATTCTCATCAGCCTTTTCTTTTTTTTTTAAAAGAAGTTCAACATATTTTACTAGGCTCTTTCATCTCAGAAATTCTCTGCAACTGAATTTACATAAATTGCAAGTATATTATCACATTAGGAATATCAGGTCTACATAAATTGCAAATATCATATTATCACATTAGGAATATCAGGTCTTTAGGTGAACGTGAGCTTACGAATAACAGTTCTTACTAGCCACAGCGACAAAAAGTAGGAGAAAGGAGAAAGTGACAGAAAGTGAACAACTATTAGTATTAAATGTTTTATGCTACAAAGAAGGTGTGGATGGAGCAGTGGATAGATGAGATGACAGTTTTGCTAGAATCTAAAATGTTCTGAAAAGTCGCCTTGCTTACTCATTTTAGCTGTAAGATACAGCCTATATACTTACTATTCCTTATGCAGGAATTAAAAGCTATCTATCAGAACTACAAATACATAAGGATGTAATTTAACATCACTAAGGTTTTGTTTGATTCAGCATATCTAAAAAAAGGATAGCTAGGGAAGGGACAGATAACCAGGAAGTAGAGGGAGACTTTTTCTTAAGCAGAATATAAGGAGTTTCAGGAATGAAGTAGAAAGATGGAAAAAGAAAAAAATGCTCTCATCTTAAAAGTACCATAACAAGTTCCTTAGGATCCTTCATGATCAAAGATAACACTGAAAGAAACTGCGCACTGAAGTGGAAGAACTGAACATCGGTGAGACTGATGATCTTGCAAAGTGGAATACTTTGAACACCTCTTGTCACTGAAATGTATTCCTGGAGATAATTGAAGACCTGTCCTTAGTCTTCTATATCTGCTTCATTTGACTTTGACACACAACACTGACAAAAATTAAACATTGATTACGTCATTTATGTATGGGAGAAGCAAAGACTTCAACTTGAAAGCTGTAATTTTCTTTTATACTAATATTATCTCCCTAAGAGTAGAACAGAATTAGAAGTTTGAAGGTATGACTCAGTCATTTGTCCTGGATATATTCTTTTAAGTTATCTGAAGTTATAGATCTAAAATTTTATACTATAAGTTTAAAAAAAGCCCCAAGGGTCAACATTAATGCAAACATAAAAAAACTTTCTCCATGTTTGTAAAAGATATTTCACTTGGTAAGTGTATTGCTTTTGTATCTGAAAAGAACATTGCATTTAACTCCATGAAAATACCAAACACAAACATACACACAAATATAGTAAGACCTTAGAATCTGAGCAGCTACTGAAACTAACATGAAAAACTTGCAAGCCACTGTGTCATCCTAAACTTTTGTCACGTGAGTATTCAGCAAATTCATCTAACCTTGTTGAGAAAGCAGTAAAACTTTAAAAAGACCAAACCTATATTGTAGAAGATAAAAATATCTGTCGCAATCACTATCAACTTTATGGTTGAATGACTGAAAAAGGGAGGACTGTTAGTGCAGTTTTCCCATGAGTAGCACTTAGATTGCCTCTATATCTGGATCCATCTACTATAAATATGGTTTGAATGCTCTTTGAGCCACAGTGGATTTTGCTTGAAACTGAAATGAAATTTAGAGAACAAGGAAGGTGCTCTACAGAGATTTATTAAAACCTAACAAAAGCAAGTTTTCTTAGTTCTGAGGATTTACCTAATGACAGAGTAGTGCCAATGGAAATTTGTCTCGAGAAGTTCTGACTCCCAAGAGGCTACAGTGAAAAATATAATTACTTCTTTTATCAGGAAATTGAACATTTCAGGACTGATTGAAATATATAGGTTCAAACTCACCAGTCATCATTCACTACTTTGTTAGAAACAGATTTTCAGAAAACATGGAAGATAAAGTATAAACAGTTATGCAAATTTACAATTAAATGTTGTATTTTGTCTGCATGACCTGTGTGTATATATAAACAACATCAGCTTTTCCAAAATATAATTATGAAAAGGTAAAGACTTCTCCTAACAGATCAATCAGGAATATTAATAATGCACTCTCCCATACCTTCTCTCCATGCACTAGTAACCTTCTACTTACATTCATTCAATAGAGGTGCTCCCGTCACTGCAGAAGCTTGCTTTTTTTTCTGAGTCACACACACAACTTTTGCTATTCAGCAAATTCAGTAAGAGATGTACATTTAGGACAAAAAAATACAACGAGAAAATGGTAAAACAAAATAAACTGGAATATTTAGTTGACAAAGAAAGAGTGCCACTATGTCTATGGTTAGACCACCACTCCAAATTATATATATAATCAAAGAAAACTAACTTTTTTCCCCTGAAACTTCCTCTCCTCTGTTTCATTTCCTGTATACATGTTTTGGAGCCCTGAAATTAGTTCCTAAACCAGCAAATGAGAATATTGAAAAGATACCCACTTGCAGATTAAAGAAGAAAAAAACCCGACCCTGGAATATCAACTGGATGGTGAAGTATGATTTATCTTTATTCTCACTACTATGTGGATTGAGAAGTTCAGTGTAAATTTCACATTGCATTGTTAGAAAGCCAGGATCCAGAAGGAAAAACACAGAAAGTGAAGACATTTAGACATACTGACAATCTTGAAGAATATAAATGAACCATATTTCTTGACAAATTCAGATGTTTGAGAACTTGAGGGTACTGAAAAGGACTGAACAAAAAGATAATGAGCAGCTTGTTCGGGTTTTCTTTAAAGCAGTAAGTAAAATGAAGCAAGAGTTCTCCAAGCAGCAAAGCTCATACTTCGGTGCAAAATTCAACCTCTAGGTAATAGGAATAGATGAGCTCATCCTTCAAGTTTATTTTCCAGATCAGCTTTCCTAGATCTTTCCCTGTATCACCTTGCCTGTACCACCCACTTTTGAAAGGCATCACAGAAAAGTTAGACTAGCTAGATTTTACATGGCAATTCGTGTTATAAAAGTGGCGTGGCTACACACATTCTGAAGAAAATCTGATTTTGCAGTAATACACGAAAAACAGGGCTTAGCTTGAAATGCCAAAGCATGATCTAATTACGGTAAGAACTCATCTCAACTAATTTGCCAAAGAAGAATTTCAGATTTTTAATCTGTTTCAAAGTTCTTGTGTAGGTTCCTCTGTAACCTCTGAGTCTTTGAAGATAGTCTAGAGGAGTGCATTCTGCTTCACAACAGATAAGCTTTACTCCTTCCCATTGTGATAACCTTCCTGAAAATACAGAGGCTTCATCTAGAGCTATTTCTTAACAGTGCTTTTTCTGTTTTTATGCCTGGTCTCTATTGGTTTTCTTTGGACATTTTTGTTTTGGAAACAGGTATAAAACTCAGTGCAGTTTCTCTGTTTCATATTGCTCTTCTGCTCTGAGTGTTCTAATGTAATGAGCTCCAAGATTTTATTTTTAAGCTATCAGACAAGAGACAATTTATTTAGCAAAAAAAATGAAGGAGCCACTTGCAGACAGAATTCACTCAACATCTTCTTAAGAAAAGCAGACTATATAATGAAGTTCAAATATTCTGTCCATCATAATAATTTTGATTCTATTACAGTGAAGGTAAGTGCTGTATAAACAATCCCATAGGCTAAACCAAAAAATTTCTATGGGTCGTTGCCAATAAATCTTGTTTGCTGACAGAAAAGAATGAGACAGCAGGAAAGAAGAACTAGCAGATGCTGGCAACCAGACTTTAGCAACCAGAATAATCTTCAAGGATCATGAATTAGATGAGGAAGAATGTTATCATTTGCCATCTGCTATGGGTCTATTAGTATGTCAGCATCTAGTGTCACAGAAAGATCTTTGTGATGTGAACGCACAAAGCGAATTCAGACAGAGTTTTCTTCTGCTGAAAGGAACCCTGCTGAAGGTAAACATTACAGGCCTTGCCACTGGCCAATTCACTTAGTGTTCATTGTATGGCTTTTAAACTTTGATAAAAAGAGAACATAACAGAGTTCACCTCAATGATCGAATAGTGTAGCATAATCAGTAAGAACTGAATAATAATCCCACAAGGTTGGCATTAAAACTTTCTATTCAATTTAGGCTGGTTTTTGTTTCCAAATGTCAGGCAGCAAATATCTAAGTTTGAGAAAAACCAGTTGGTCTGAAGGTGTCTTAAACCAAACAATAATGAAGTGGGGCAAAGAACTGCCCCAGCCCAGGCTAGAAATTTGCACATACATTTTGTTGACAAAATACCACTTCCTTAACGTTGCTACTCAGTGGCAGGATTATCTATCTTCCTGGGGATATTAAAGACATTCAAGGTGTTAACAATTTCATATTCATGACTGATACTGCAAGAGATAACATGAAACTTCAGCAACCATAATGTGTTGGCAGACCCACATATTAAATTGTGCAACATGGAACAAACTACTTAACTGGCTTGCATTTATCTATTACTTTGATACAACCCTTGCATGCGAACCAACCTTGTTCAGTAGAGGCAATACATTAATCTGATAGATTATATGTCTGAGCATGGAACTTGCAAGGCATAAATGTACTTACTTTTGGTGTTGGGCAGGATGCAGTGGAGAGACGAGAGGTGGCCTGGGCACGCGGAGATTCTGAAGGAGTAGTACTGAGGGAGGCTGTATCACGTGGGAGCACCTGAACACCACGAGAGATGATGGAATCTGGAATCTTAAAAAGAAGAGAGATTAATAGTAAAAAATATACTGTATTTAAAACTTATTCAAAACCTTACATCAAAACCAAAGGAATATCCCACTCCTCAGTTTGCACACCTCCTCACACGCAGTGCTGGAAGTGGTTAATGGCATGTTCTCATAATTTCAGTAACAAATACCTAGCTAACATATAGGATCATATTCTAACTGTAGTAGCATAGAACATACTATTTGTCCTGAAAAACCTATGAATCAGACACACTACAAGAGAAAATAATAAGAAAGTCATGGTCTTCCTCTTAAGTGTCTGTTTTGCAATGACCAACAGGGATTTCTACCATGGCAGGAAGGGAGGCAGACTTCCCATTCTCTACCTAGGGGACAATATTATGAACAGAAAACCATTTATTAGCAATGGCTGAACCCCTCTAAAGAAATGTCATGCAGTGAGTAAATACTCTTCATTTTGTGTACTGAAGACACTATTTCAGCCAAAAAACCTCTTGATGTAATATTTGTGCTGTAAAAACTACAGGCCTCCCTGGAGTGAGTCCAGGCAAAAGCACTAGCAGCCACCACCCAAAGGCAACTCTTAGTTTAAAAAGCATTCCGAAGGGAAAAATAACATTCAGTCTTCTTTTACATACATAATGTATTAGAAGGCCAGCTAGGAAAGTGTAGTCCCTGGGAAGAACATGACTGGCAAACTGGTAACAATGGACAAGCAGAAGCCTGAGATACTCAACGTTTTTGCCTCAATCGTCACGAGCAACCTCTCTTCCAACACTTCTTGAGCGGATGGACCACAGGATGGGGACTGGGGGAGCAAAGTCCCTCCCGCTGTAAGACAAGACCAAGTTTGTGACCACCTGAGGAACCGGAACATACATAAGTTTATGGGATCTCACAAGATGTGTCCCAGAGTCCTGAGGGAATTGGCTGATGTAGTTGCCAAGCCACTCTCCATGATAAGTGAAAAGTCATGGAAGTCAGGTGAACTCCCTGGTGACTGGAAAAAGGGAAACATTGCACCCCTTTTTAAAAGGGGTAGAAATGAGGACCCTGGGAACTGCCCACCTGTCAGCCTCACCTCTGTGCCTGGGAAGATCATGGAACAGATCCTCCTAGAAGCTCTGCTGCAGCACATGGAGGACAGGGGTGTGATTCGAGTAAGACAGCATGGCTTCACCAAGGGCAAGTCCTGCCTGACCAACCTCTGGTGGAGTGACTACATTGGTGGACAAAGGAAGAGCTACGGATGTCATCTATCTAGATTTCCGTAAGGCCTTTGCCATGGTCCTCCACAACATCCTTTGCTTTAAGTTGGAGAGATATGGATTTGATGGGTCGACTGTACAGTGGATGAGGAATTGGCTGGATGGTCATATCCAGAGATTAGTGGTTGACGGCTCGATGTCCAGATGGAGACTGGTAACAAGTGGTGTTCTCAGGGGTCTGTACTGGGACCACTGTTTAATATTTTCATCGGTGACACAGACAGTGGGATCAAGTGCACTCTCAGCAAACTTGCAGATGACACCAAGCTGACTGGTGGGGTTGACAAGCCTGAAGGATTGGATGCCATTCAGAGGGACCTGGACAAGCTCAAGAAATAGGCCCATGTGAACCTCAGATTGTTCAACAAGGCCAAGTGCAAGGTCCTGCACATGGGTCAGGGCAACCACTAGTATCAATACAGGCTAGGGGATGAGGGCATTGAGAGCAGCCCTGAGGAGAAGGACTTGGGGGTACTGGTGGATGAAAAGCTGGACATGAACTGGCAGTGTGTGCTGGCAGCCCAGAAAGCCAACCGTATCCTGGGCTGCATCCAGAGAAGTGTGGTCAGCAGGTCGACGGAGGGGATTCTCCTGCTCTACTCTGCTCTGGTGAGACCTCACTGGAGTACTGTGTCCAGCTGTGGAGTCCTTAGCACAGGAAAGACATGGATCTGTTTGAGCAAGTCCAGATGAGGCCACAAAAATGATCAGAGGGATGGAACACCTCACCTATGAAGAAAGGATGAGAGAATTGGGATTGTTCAGCGTGGAGAAGAGAAGGATCCAGGGAGACGATATAGCAGCCTCCAGTACTTAAAAGGGTTTATAAGAATGATGGGGACAAACTTCTTAATAGGGCCTGTAACAACAGGACAAGGGGTAATGGTTTTAAACTGATAGATTAGATATCAGGAAGAAATTTTTTACAATGAGGGTGGTGAAGCACTGGAACAGGTTTGCCCGGAGAAGCTGTGGATGCCCCATCCCTGGAAACATTCAAGGTCAGTTTGGACCGTGCTCTGAGCAACCTGGCCTACTTGAAGATGTCCCTGCTCATTGCAGGAGTGTTGGACTAGATGGCCTTTAGAGGTCCCTTCCAACCCAAACTACTCTATGATTCTATTTCTAAGCTGGAATTTCAGGGACAGATCCTTTAGATAGTATTAATAAGCCACTTAAATGGAATTGCACAAACTTACAACAGTGAGAAAATGGTCTTATTTTCAGTTATAAGAGCGAGTCTATAATTTTTTTCTTCTGTCTGTTCAGTTTCATAACCAGTTCCAAAGAAAAGAGGTAGAAAAATGCATTTAAGCATAAAGCTTTTCTTAGCTTTAATATATTGAGGTTTAGAAAATCTGTTGTAACTTATTACTGCAGTATTTGGGCCCAGTCATGCAGATATCACACTGGCTTTATAATTGACTATATTGTTAATTTGACATGACTCATTTTTTATTTTTTGTGTAAAATGTTAAGGCATACAAATGATAACTACCTCAGATAGTAGAACTGATCTCTAACATTAGTTCTACAACTCAAAATGCGGCAGATTTTCTGCTGTAACATACTCTCTACAAAGGCTTATTCTGATTTTATTTTCATTATTTTAACCTCTTCCATTTTTAGAGGCAGCACTTCTACCAGATCAGATTGTTCTTACTTCTTACTATTCTTACACTTTTCTATCACAACAGTCAAGAAAACCTAGAAATTCAGATCTTTGAAGGAATACACATACACATATTTTAAGATCTTTCTCCTCATTAAGAATTTCCTAGCTCAGCCTGATGTTCAAGTTGAAAGAGAACTAACAAAAGAACTCCCATATTTGGGGAAAATGACAGTAGTAGACAATAAAAGGAGATGTTGTATCCCGTTTGCATCTAGGCATTTTGAGCATTAAATCCTAGTAAGGCTTTAGGGCAAATAGAAGCCACTGGAAAGTACCTCCTTCCAGGAACAAGCTTGAATCCTAGCTTTTAAAATCACTGGCAACCCTAGGACTAGTGTCAGGATATTAAGGCAGCTTTGTTGCTTGTCTCTGTGCAAGTTAAAGTAACCAATATTAAGACTCAAGTCATTAAATACTGTTGTTTTACGTCATTTTTCTCCCCTCAACTTCCTTGGTTCACATCTATAAATAACTGTGCGTAACTTAGCAGTCTTGAGTTAGAGATACTGGATTATACCTGGGGGATGTTATTTTACCATAAACCCTCCTCCACACGTTACGAATTTCCTCACGTTTATAAGTTGTGTGGAAACAGAACTTTTTCTTGGAGTGCCACCAACTGCCTGCTTGCTGCTCTACTGCTGCCTTTCTAGACTGATGGTGTTTTTTGCCAATCAATATCTGCCAGCATTTAAAAACCAATTTTACTCAAAGGATCTTTAAAGGCTAAGTAACTTGTGCTGTGATTTCCACCATAAATTATGAAGTCAGCAGAGTTTCTCTTCACTATAGATGATCATCCTGGGGATAGCTTCCTCTTCAGAAAGAGTGCCTATCTGGTCTCTATTTGGAGTATTCTGATTTGCAAGTGGCATCTCAGAGGTGTATTATGAACAGAGGTAAGCTGAGACAGTCATATTCGGACCAGTTTGTAGTCAGAAGCACCATTTCCCTTCTGTTCCCTTTTTCTCCTGAAATCTCATCTTAAATATGTTAAACACAAGAAAGTCTGACATCCTTAAGTTTTATACTGGCATAGTGCCAATACTACCTAAAACTTTTAATCTTCATGACTAAAGAGAATTCAGCAAAAAATTACATTTTGATTATGGCAAAAAATTAAAAAAAAAAAAAGACAATAAAAGAAAGAATAGTTTTAAGTCTTCAAATAAGACACCTTTTCTTTACTCTCCTCTGATAAAAAGCTGCACACATATTGGTATGATTGTGTGTGAGTCCATTACCTCTTTTTGATACTCCAAGATCCCACACACAAATACTATATTGCTTTTGCAAATGATACCATGATCCAGTTCTCCCTTGGTTTACTCTGGTTCCTCTAGAGTAACGAGATATTACATATTATCTCAAATCTTTCAGGCAAGTAACTGTGGTTTTTTTTCTATTCACCATCTCCAACAATCTTTGCTTCTACAATTTTATCTGGTATCACCTTTTTTAGAACCAAAAACTCTCTGCAACAAACTGAATGAGACGATTCCAGTCCCCATTGAACTGTGAAATACTAATTTTTGCCTGTGGGAAAATGAAAATTTCAGCCAAGACATTATTCATAAAAGGAAGCTGAAGGGAAAAATTATTACAGACATTTAATTTCATTAAGAATTAATCTCTAATCACTACCTTTACAGAAAATACAGTCGCCATAAACCAATCCATATATAAACCTATCTAGGTTTTAGCTTGCTAGCTTTCGCAGATAGAAAATCTCACTGAGAGAATTAAGTTACTTCACAGTTACAAATTTTGCTTTTAGAGGTTTATTTCTCTAATATGACAGCAGTGTGACGTATTGCTAAACCCAGCATTAATATTATCTTTAAACCACTACAAGCTGCTGATTTCAGAGAAGATAATAATATGTATGCTGCATAAACATAAAAATATTAAAAATTAATTAATATATACAGTTCATTAAGTGAAATATGATCAATATTTCTATGCATATATGTTATGTGATATGGGGAATGCCTCATTTTTCTCACCTATATTTAATAAGCTTTTTTTCCTTTTAAAGTTAAATTTAGGCAATCTAAGTTTCTAATCAAGGCAACTTCTTGTTAAGCCTGTTAAAGAGGTTGACAACAAGAATGAGAAAGTTCTGTGTTTCTTGGAGCCTGGAAATCCGCAATAAGGAAGGGAAGAAATATTATTGTGTTTCCAATAGATTTTTTTTTTAAACTTTCACAGAGTCATACTCTAAGTATTTATGATGTCTCCCCCTAAAATTTTTCAACTCATTTGCCATTTTCGAACAAATTTAATAGGGGGTAGAGGTCTCAAAACTTTAAATGGGATACAATAAGACTCTAATTTCAGTGAAAATATTTTCTGTTTGCATCAGCTGGAGTGAAAAACCTGTTGTAACATACTGATGGAGAAAGAAATGAATGAGAAATGCATGAAGTGACAGAGAAATATATCCACTATATCTGTCAGGCATTGCCGCTACGATTTTTATTTGACATGACTCTTTTAATATTTATGTTTTCAAATTAGAGAACTAAGTGCTGAGAAGAAAGATAAAAAGGAAAAGATATGAGCATTTTATCCTCTTTTGCCCAGGACTGGAACAAACATTGACAGTGTAGTTGAGGTACTAAGAAAACCAGCTGTAGATGGAAATTACTTTGATTGTTATACAAGAGTAAAAAATACCTTAAAAATGTACAGAAAAGACATCTTAAAAAGAACAACTCTGAAAAATTAGCCACTTCCTGCTCTGAGTCTGAAGATCTGATTTGGATCACAGACTGCATAAAACAATAGCTCAAGAGGAATTTGTGAAAGGGAACAGAAGCCTGGATGACAGCTTAACAGCTTGCTTCAAAGAGGCGGAATTCACTGTTTTAGTGATAGTGAAGAATATGATGCCAATGCTAGCTTACTAACCTCAACTCAAAAAAAAGAGAATCTACTGGAGTAAGTATGTGTGCATATATGTATATACACATACATAGCTCTATCATCAGGTGTGTAAACTTTAAAGCCATCACATTTCCAAAGTGACTTTTCAAGAGACACGGTCATCATGTTTTAAATGCAGAGGTGTTACACTATTTCACTGATGGTTTAAATTACTGTTTGCCTAAAGGAACAAGAAAGTGTAGCCTCTGGTCATCAAATCTAGTGACATACTTTGCCAAGAACTTACACCCCGCTTGCTGGCTGACATGGAATGAATGGGTCAGGCAGCACAAGTCTCTCTATGGCAACTGCCTTCTTCAGGTTTCTCTACAGCTATGAATACAATAAATAGTGTTTCATTGCTCATGATACTGCAGACATTATTCTGTTTTGATTCAAGTCTAGACTAAACCTTTGAGAGAGGGGAAATGAAGTACCGTATTTTGTTAGAGCCCGAGTTGTAACCTCTGGATAATAATAACCTAAGTTCTTTCTACCATTCATTGAATTAATTGCCTACTATTCATTAAAATTCAGTATTTTATAGTAAGCCCATTGCAGCCTGATTCTTCAAGTCTTTCCTTCTGTTTCTGAGAAATTCTGCTTCTAAACAGAATACAAAATAAGGGACAAAGTGCAAGTGATGAAAGCAAACTATGAACATCCAGTGTAAATGCTGGATTATGTTGACTAACAAATTATTGACAGAAAGAAGCAAAGCAAGGCAAACGAAGGTGAAAAAGTTACCAAAATTTCATAGCTCTTAAAGCAGTAATTTTAGGAGATTAATTTTATTATATTCAATTATCAAGTATATTAGTTGATAAAGCTGAAGACTAATCAGGAATACAGGCTTTATAGCAATCATTATCTCAGCAGCAGAATGACTCAAACTGACGATGTACAAGAACTTTACCTTGTTTAGCCCTGCATCTTAAACAGAGCATTTTCTGTAGCATGTTCTCTAAAAGATATCACTGATGTGTCTTTGTTAGAAGAAAATAAATAACACTGTCTGTTCACACAGTAGACTAGGAGGCAGGCAGTGTATTTTTAGATACTGTTAGTGCAAAAGCCTCTTGGAAGTGTCTCTTACCGGTTCTCCTGCACTGCCTGCTGCGTGATGGCAATAACTGATGAGACCAGGGATGGGCTGTTCACCTTTTGCCATGATAACAGCAGAACTGGTGTAGGATGGATGCTTCTAATACACAACACATAACAGCTATGAATACAGTGACAGGAAAACATGAACCTACACAAGCAAATGACCAAAATGGAATGAGGTGAAAACAAGTGTGACACTAAAATGCCAAGCTCAAATGAACACAGCCAGTTTAGATCTCAGGTATTTTCTGCCTTTAAAAATTGCACATATTTTTTATCTTTGCCTGTATTAAAAGAAATGAACCAATTTAAAATTTGCATTAATAAAAACTGAAACTTGCAAGTGATAATTACCTTAATTCATCCCTGTAAAGATATATGTAATCAGGATTTTCTGAACATGAGGAGATGATCTCCAGCTGCAGCTGTCTTAGAAATGTCAAGATGTCTCAGACCTGAATTCACATTTCTGGAGTTAGAATGTTGCTGCTTTAGTTTAGAAATTGTTTCATAAAATTTTGAGTTACTTACACTTTCAATTCCCATAATAAGAATTAAAAGCCCAATTTGTGGAGTAAATATAGAACAAAGCAGTTTGGAAAAAAAACCTTTCCAAACAGAGGAGCACATTGTCTTTCCATTTGAAATCTGAAGACATAAAACTGAGGTAAATATTTATATATTGCTTCAAATAATATGGTATTTCTTTGGGAATTGTTTAAAATTGGAACCGAATTTATTTGCAAGTGTTATCTATTTTTTTTCCTTTTGTAGTCTCAAGTTTATTATTTTCATTTGAGTAATGTTGATCTATGATTATTGGTTAAACAACACTATAAAAATACTGTGATGACATTTAGATTTGCAGCAGAATTTCACATCTGTTATGCGGACATGCACACTGGAATACAGTAGCCTGGATAGCTTATTACTTAACCTGCTACTTATCTGTCATACTTTTTAATCAATGCTTTTAGAAAACAACATTTTATTTTCCAGATAGATATTAGGGCTTAGAAATTTTTGTTGCGATTCCTTAATATAACACTTTCTGGGCTGTGCATGTTCAGGCATGTGAGTGCTTTGAATTAAAAAACCCCACTAAAAATAGTCTGTTACATCAAAATGTTATCATAAAAATGCATGTTATTGTCAAGATAACAAACAATACATCTCCCACTGAAATTTGTGATCACCTACTCAGACACATATTTTTATGAAGCGATATTTCTACAAACCTACCTAAAATACATCTGACCACACAGACATCAATATATAGTCTTAACATGCAAATAAACATTGGTGGAAAGTACCTGAGGTAGTAACTAAAGGGTCTCATGGGGAAAGATGCCAGACTCACCTTAGCTGCAATGGCTGCTGCTGTTATATGTGAAGAAGAACTGTCCTCTGTTGAGGCAACTCCACTATCTTTCTTCTCTTCCTCCTCTTCCTCACACTGTACTCCTTTGTCTTCTGTCTGCTTGTGAGGGCTGGTGGTTGGAGGAGGAGAAAGAGGAGGTGGTGGTGAAGGTAGATCTTCAAGCTCATCGTGTACTTCTTTTACTTTTACAATGGCATCCCGCAAAAGATCAATGGCGTGAGGTAGGGCTGGCAGTATAAACTGAAAGCATTCCTATGCACAACAAGAGAAATGACTATGAAAATCTACCTGCAAACATAAATTGGGATTTTTCAGATTTATTCTTAAAAGATATTCAGGATTTAGATTTGTCTTTTCACCCGTTCGTAAATAAAACATAAAATGCCCTATGCAATTGCTCACAGAGGGTAAAAAACCAAACACAGAACCAGAACTGAGGACTATATTATGTATTTTTGCCTTTTGTCATGCAAATATAGTAAATTGTACAACAGGGCTACTGTAATTAAGCTAATATTGGATTAAAACTTCAGAAAACAAGAGTTAAATTTTTGTGAATACATAATACAGAAACCAGTTCACAGCAGTTGGCAGAATGCTACAAAAATGCAGAATAAAAACATTAACTCTATCCCTGCAGGGATATTACCTTGAAATCATCCCTATTATGTTCCTTCACAATTAGAGAACAATTCATAAGGGTTTCATAATTATACTTGTATATAATTATATCCTTTTTTATTTATGGACTTATGCTATATACTGGAAGAATCACAAACTACACATCATAATTTCATGTAACTCAGAAAAAATTGTTCATAAATAATGTATTTTTCAAACCTCTCCTTGCTCCATGATCTTAAAAACAATTAGAAAGTTTATTCAATATGGCTGGAGAAAGCAAAATGCAGATGTCGTGAAACTGTTCTTGTTCCATAATGAGCATACACATATTTAGCCATCTCTGCTGCTAAAACAGGCTAGTGTTTCATCAAATCAAAGAGGAACCTCAAGACATCATGCAGTGAGGGCTCCTGCTCTGATCAGGGTCAATATGAAATTCAGACAGGTTGATTATGGCTGTGATCAGTCAAATCTTGAAAAAAATCCAAGAACAGAGACTCCACAACCCTACTTGACAACCTGTTCTAATACTTAATTACCCTCAAAGTGAAATTTTTTTTCTTTTCTTTTTCTCCATCTGGAAGATACCTTCTTCAATTTACAAATATTGTCTCCCATCCTCCTCCCAGGCATCTCAATAAAGAGTTTCCTTCATGTCATTTGATCAGACTGCATCTAAACACCAAATTATTGAAAAATGATGGCAGGGTCACATGAATGAATTGCCATGGCAGTGCAGTTAGGGAACATATAAGCTGACAGAGAAAGCGGACATTATTCATTTTGTTGCACTTCATTTTTTATTTTGTTTCAAGCATAAGGAAAATTTTAAAAAATGTATTCCAACATTTTAGAGAACCCAGAAAATAAAAAAAAGATAAATAATGACAAACATTTAGTAAATAGATGCTGTAACAAATATTTTCAATAACTAAAAATAACTATGTAAACAAAATAAAGAGCAAACCATTCATCAGAAGTTACTAAATTAATAATGAAAAGTCAGACTACTTCATGGATTTATAAATTCTTTAAACGTTCAATTTGGCACTCTGAAGAACTGGAGTAAACTACATGAGCATAAGATGCTGTACATAATGAATATATAGTAAATGTATTTGTAAACATAATAAAGAATTATAACTTCTAATGTAACTGCAAACCTCAGAGTTACTGTGGCTCCACATTATTATTTTAAACATGATTTAAAACACTCAAGCTTACAACCATTTACTTCAGTAAAAAAGCAGACCTCAAGTAAGTGGTAAACAAGGACAATCTGTGAACTGGCCAATAATCATGAAATAGTACTTTAATGATTAACTTATTAGAGAAGCATGTTCCCCATTCAACCAATGAAATAAAGCCTGGTTGGCTTAACTATTGACGAAAAGGTTCCCAGTAGGTACTCCACAAGCTCAAGCTATTTGTAAAAATCATTGCTTCAAGGCAAATGTTAGTACCATTATGAAAATTGCCATAAACTCAATGATTTCAGTGGCCATTTGGTAATTTCACACTTTGCCCTCTTTCAGAACCTTAAATACCTTTTGCAAGGCTAGAAGAAAAGAAGTAAACCAAACCAGAACACCACCAAAGTGGAAGCATTCTACAGACATTGATTCAGTGGTACATGCCACATAAACCTTCTCTGGAGAAAACGCATTTGGCATGCATTGTGTCCTTTTTTGACATGGAGTATTTACACTGCTGCCATTTTCTATTAATATTTTATTAACAAAATATGTATACTGCTGCAATTTCATAGCTTTATATAAGCTTCTTATATGATTGTATTAATATGATGGAAAGGAAATTAGCAAGTCACAAAAGAGAAATTAGAGAAATTCCTGGTAACAACCTGTCTTATCTGGTTCTTGAGATCCTGAGTGCCTCTTATGGAACAATATCCTCTATTATTCATCTTAAAAATCTTCACTGAAGTCTTATACTTTAAAGATGTTTCATATTAAATTGTGACAGAACAGAGTATCATCATGACAGGAACAATTAAATCACCAGTTTATAAAAAGCTTGTTTGTATAATGAAATCACATGACTTATTTTTTTTTCCAGCAGAATTACCTTTTTAATTATTTATTTTATATCAAACTATTGCTAAAATATTTATTAGCATTTTTTCTTTTCCTCATCCTCTTTCTATAATTTACCTATCTTCACAGCCTGGGTGCCTCAGGGCAGAAAATGAAAACTCTGTCTAGCATATTAGGAGTGCTACAAGTGAACACAAGAAAACCCATTAGACATTGTAGGCTGTTTCATCTCTTTCACAATTCAACAAAGGAAGTACAGACTTCTTAAAAAAATCTTACTGGTGCACCAGTTCTCTAAGATGTGGGGTCCACTGCTATGTTAAATACATGCACACACATGTGACTTCCCACTCATAACTGGAAGACTTTCAAGGCAGTATACTTCTGCCCCACCATCCTCCAGTGCTTGTTGCATGTTTTGAAGGCTTTTTAACTTCTTTACAATTACAGAGTCTCATTAGATTTCCTAAAAAGGAAATCTAAGGAATGGTAGAATCATAGAAGGGCTTACTGAGTCCGTGCACTGAAACATATAGGCAATCAACCTGAAAACCTGTGAGCGCTGGTTAAGATAACAGTATTCAAAACATTTCCTCTTGAACTTCCAGGTGATAGCCCACATAAACATTCTTTATTTATCTCCAGACATGAGTCTTACAAGCAGCAGTGACTTGAGGGCTGTCCTGACAAACACATTAGCGCTGACTCCTCTGCGACTGGGTACTACTGGCTCAGAAGACATTGATAAACTACCAGGTACACATTTGTTAGAGGCCAGAGGTAAAGGCATTTTTTTTTAACAAGGCCACTGACATAGTCTGGACCCTGGAGAAATATTCTTGTGATTGATGGGGGGGGGATATACCTTAGCAGTTTTGTATCAGGCTGCACAGCCCAATATACAGCTTAGCAGTATTTGTGTGGACAAGGCTGTTCTTCTGGATCTACTGGCCAACTACACAGGAAGAGCAAGCACTGGAAAGATCTAGCCTTACTAACACACACACACACAATTCCTCCTGATGTTTAACTGTGTTTCTCTCAGCTCTGCAGTCAGAAAGTAAACACGAATAAAAACATAAAGCCTAATCTCCTTGTCCAAAGTGAGCAAAATCCAGGAAGAAAGCAAACTGTAAAAAGGGTGTGAAGTCTGATAGCCATATCCAGAAGATTTAAAAAATTCTTAAACTCTTAAAAATAATGGTTTTTTCCCTCGTGCTGACCAAAACCGGGAATATGTTCATACTTCAGCAGTTCTCCCATACACTAGGCCTTCCTCTTACATCTGTGTGAAAAAGACCACTTTCTTGGAAGCTGTAGACAACACAGGGATCAGGTACAGGCTGACTAGAGAAGGAGGGAGTGTAAGAGACCATTAGACTCTTCATTAACATTGTCTGCTACAGTGAGCCCTCTTGCACTACCTGTAACGCTGTCCTGGTCACACAGTAACTTCAATCAGATCAGAATTGTATCATCCCTGACCGAGAGTGATGGTGCATTTGGTGATATGAAAATGCATTTCAATTCACTTTTGCAAAATATGTTGTAGTGGGTACTTGGTACCATTCAGAACAATGGGAGGTACTCATCACCCATCCTCAGGAGCAGATCAGTAAGAACACTTCTTACCTGTGACCCTTTCTTGCTACCTGGCAGATTAATTATAAGAGTTTTCCCTCTGATTCCACACACAGGTCTGAAAAGAAAGAAACCCAGAGTGAAATTCTTGCATGCAACTTCCTCCACTGTAGAAACAAGAACAGAGAATTTAAGATCAACTCTTTTATTTATCAGAACTTGAAAACTCAATTTCCAACATCTAAAAATATTTGCTGGTCTTGTTCTCATAAAACAGCTCAGGAGAAGCTGAGCTGAAAAAGCATCAAACAAGGCTGACAGAGTCTAACATTTAATTGATCATATAAACAGTGGCTAGATTTCCATAATTTTTAGATCTGTGTAGCTCCCTTAATTCTATTGTTTACTTGCATCCAATACATTCTTTGATAAAGTCCTATTTGCTCATACACATGGTTTCTTTGTAACCTAATTAATGGTGCAAACACTTTCCCTTGCCAGGTAAAAATACTAAGTCATGCTGGTTCCATTAATTCATGGAACGTCTTCTTTTGGTTTTAAACATGCAACGTAAGAAGAGTAGAGGGAAGTAATTCTCAAATGAAAACTGCACGTATGCAATTCATATCTAATTCTTCATAACAGTCTTTCCTTTCTCCTCCAAAACAGATGAAACCAACTATCAGAGATGGAAGATTTTATTTTACTTTTTGTCTTTAGGGAATTCCTTTGGTCTTGATGCAGGGTTGAAATTAGACACCCGAGTGCTGAATGCTTTCTGTTATTTAGAGTTTGCCTCTTCCTCCTTTTAGATAAACATTAAAAAAACCCACCAAAAACCACAACTGGCTTTTGTATTTACATTGTAAAGAGTGCCTCCTGTTTACGAAATCAGTGGTGAAAAACTCATGGCTGGGATATAGGGATAAGAAAAAAGTAAAAGGATGAAACTAAACCACACAGATACAGAGGCTACAGTTCAGAGAAACTGTGTAATGATCTCATTATTAAGCAAAAACACAAGCCATAAGTGGAGACACAACAGAAAAGAAAATAATTTCTTGATGGGGCAGTATGCTATATTTTGAGCCAAAGGACATAATTTCTGGGGTAGCCAACTTCCCTGGATTTATTTCATAGAAACAGTTCTCACTGATCAATGTAATTTATCAGTAATGTGGCATTTTCTATCAGGACAGCAAGTATTCTAGTGATAGCTGTTAATAGTGATCACAATTAAATACCACAGAGAACATTTTTTGTGGCACAAAATGAACTCCTGATATCACAGTCAAACCAGCCTCAAGAGAAGTCAACCGGCAGCTTGAATACTGCCTGACTCCTAGCCTCTGTTCTCCCATATTCACTTCTTGGACACCATATACTCAGTTAAGAAAGAATTCCAGGTAGCTGAGGAATACTCTACTGCAATGAACGAGATGAAGAGCCTGAGTTAAGGAAATGTGCTCATGTACTCTTGTTGCAGTCGTCAAAACTACAGAGTACAAACTCAACCCAGCAAACCTCTTACATGGGATACAGTTTATGACATTAAAAATAAAGGAAATAGGAATTATCCGTAGAGAAATTAAAGTGAGGTGGACTTGTGTATGGCAGATAGTTCCTCTAATAACCTTTTTCTTGTCTCTTTCATTCTGCTTTAAATAATTTTGAACATTCTAAGGTAAATGGCCAGTACAACCAACCAATAATAAAAAAAAGGATTAAACCAGCAGCCATTCCCCTGAGAGCTACATGTTTCAGCTGCCAATAATCACATCTAGTGGCTCAAGACAGAAATAGAGCGACCAAAAATTTCTCAAGAGAGCATGCAAAAGTAAGTAAAAGTACCTAAGACCACACGGCTTGCAAAAAATACTGTGTGCGCATACAATATAAAAGCACATAGAATGTGCATGCATTCTGGGTAATCTGAGAGATAAATTAATGATATTCCTCCAAATGTAGAACAGTTGAGGGAGATGCTGTGGATCTCATGTTATCCTCTGCCTTGTGATGCAGTGGACAGAAATTTTAAGAAAAACAAAGAATCTGAGAAAAAATACAAACAGAAGCAAAGGAATGGAAGGAAGAACAGAACGCGAGAGAAGGAAAATATGGACGTGGGAGGAAAGAAATACAGGTCTGGTGCAGAAGTAGGAATGGAGAACATGCTCTCTTTGGGATAAAAACAATCTCCCTGGGAAGAAATTATGCTGGTAAATGCAGAATAGATGGACAAGGAGACAGAGAGTGCTTGAAAAAGCTTCAATAAGGACTGGCACGACATGGGTAGTTGACAGGTAAGGAATTGGGTGAAGGGAAGAGATTAATTCTGGGACAAGGACAGTTTTGGAAGGTCACAGAGAAGGAATGAAAACAGTTTCAGGAAACACATAAAAAGGTCTATGATGCTCTAAGATACTCCCTGCTGGACCTTGGGGCTGAATCCAATCTATGATGGGCTCACTGCTCCTCATCTGCCCGTTAAGTATCTGTGAATCCAGTCTATAAAACAACTTACCACTTCCTAATGCTGACACAGAGTCAGTAAGACAGTCTATAAGTTACAACAACTTTTATAAGTCCATGTAATAAAATTCAATACAAATGATCTAACATTTCTAAACCTGAAGGTGATTTATAGGAGTGTCAGCTTAATGTTGCAGAAAGGAACTTCTGCTTTTGGGTTTGGTTTCTTTTTTTTTTAAACTCAAGGGAATTTCATGCAAAATTATCCATCAGAACTCCATTTCAAAATGAAGTCAATGAGAGGTAAGCTTAGGACAAGTGACGTTTGATGTTAAATACTTTGAAAAATTAGGACGTACATTTCTCAAACTGTGTGTCTAAAATTATTGTATGTTTTTGACTTCTCTTAATGCGTGCCTTAGTTCTGGTTGTAAGGGGGAATTACAACACTACCCCGATTTACAGAATTATCTATGAAAATATATTAACAAGTTGTGTCTTAGAATAACAAATTATCTAAGAAAAAACCCAGAGGAAATGAGCCTGAATTCAGAGAAGATTCTGAATAAAGAAGCCTGAATTCAGAGAAGATTCTGAATAAAGAGCACCAAAACTGATACAGGATTACACATAGGACAGCCAAACCAAAGAAAAGAAAATTTCCTTCCTCCATCTTAAGCATCTGCAGAGGAATTCTACAAAAAATATAATCATTACACACATGTGCATTCACGAAGAACTGAGATTGCACAAGAGACCATAATGCTATATTTTTGTGTACTTAACTTCATGATCTGGACAGTGTTATAAAAATAAGGGACTTTTGCATGCTGATTATTTTAGGCCTGAAGTAAAGGTTTTCACTGGGAAATGTTTTAAGGACTAATATGATTGCATGCAGTATCTCTGTAACCTTCTCTCCCGTCACTGTTTTCAATTACTACTGGAAGTGGCTGTAGTTTAAGGGATATTTTCTTTCTACATGTCCAGAAGACTCAGGTTGCAGTCCAGAATTTTTGTTCCACTACCATTACAACATCCTTTCAGCCATCCTGATCACATCACATCCTAAATCAAACAGTAGTATCTTTTAAATGGCTATCCTTTCTTGATTAGAAACAGAACTGCTAAATTAACTTTTCTTCTCCTTGCGGTAGTATTCTGCTATTCTTTCCCTTTTGATAAACACAAACTGTAATTGTATAAAACATTTTATTGGATAAAAAAATGAAAATATTTGCTAACTTGGACAGAACCTGAAGTTCTTAACTTGGTAATGTTGCCCTTTCAGATATGTGATATGAAAAGTTTTAAAATACCTTGTCAAATCATTAAACCTCTCATCTAAATGTCCTTTAAAAATCCAAGTATTTGAATACAAAGCTGCAGATTTCTAAGTTCCTTCTTTATTTCTTATATAATTATTTTCTTGTTATACCCCCATGATACTATACCCCCATGATACAACAAAACCAAAAAACCTGTAACAGCATTGTTTTTTAGTTACCTTGAAATAATGTGCAAACACACACTAACTTATGAAAGGTATTGATATTGCTAAGTCTATCATAGGTAAAATGAAGTAAATTGAAGGAATAAAATAAAAATCAGCTCCAGAAAGAAATATAGGATAACAAGAGATGTCACTGACAAAAAATAAACACCAACAGGCAGAGAAACAGTTACTAATTATTTAGTAGAAAATACCAAATTCTAGGAGTTGAAATACTTTATTTGAAAGCATGGAATAGAATACTGTTCAACTTATTCAGAGAGCTTTTGCTGATACTGGAATAAAAACAATATCAAAACAATATATTTGTATTTATCAAGGCCAAAGTATTTTAGTACTTGATGTACAACACAGAATCCTTCATTCACCACCAAAATGCCAGCTCTAGGATGAAAAGACAATTGTTTAACTGCATGCATCAATATTACAAATAACCTGGCATAGAAAATACAGGAGGATACAGTGTCTAATGGATACAAAAAAGGAAATTAAATGAGAGAATGCAATCACCATTCTTGAAATTTGGCCACTTCTCTAAAGTTAAAACTTCTAGTCCTGATAACAATGGCAATGTGCAGTTATTTGTGTACAGTCATTTCATGACAATATGTATTTCTAACGAAATAGTTCACCTCATGTTTTGAAGGAAATATCCTTACCTAGAGAGCATGCCCAGAGGAGTAACATTAAGTGATCCCATTAGCATTGCGAGGGCCATCCCTGGGGCTTCTCTCTCTATTACTTCTTTAGTGGCCTGCAATCAAAAATTAAATAGAACAGTGAGTGAAGAAAGACATGGACAAGAAAAATATGAAACCAGCTAAAATTTGAGTAAGAATATCTCCTTTTTTTGTTCCTGCCAAGAGACATCCTTGCTAAATTCTCAACACTGAAATATGTTAAAGAATTTTCTCTGGGTTGTGTAAAAAAGGGTTGGGAAGAAGCACTGTTAGCTGTACTGTAAAGACTCCTATAGAAAATGTTAAGTCAGGACCCTATATACATAGGAGATGTTAACCAACGCCACATAAATAACAACTCCTCCCTCCAACAGAAAGGAAAGAATGTTTGGGAATAAACAAAGAAAAGACCAAATATAACTGCCTTCACCTCCTCATCAATCTCATGTGCATTTTCCCGTTGAGATTTTCCCAGGCATGAGAAGGGTGAATTGGTCTGCGCAGAAGACAGAAAAAAAAAAAATTGCAAAGGGAAGCCCATGTAGCAGGCAGGCAGGAAAAGAGTAAAATGGTAATGATAATGGCCAGAGGTGGAGGCCTTTCCTTTTGATCATGTCAGCAAAACAACGATTCCAAACAGGCTGGTGGCTTTTATTCTCAAGCAGTCCATATGCAGTGGGCATTGAGAAGCCTGGAAGCAGAGTCTGAAAATTCTTTTTACTCCGTTTTCTACGCAGGGAATCAGACGTAAAATTATTTTTCTGGGGTGTGCACGAAATTCTGTCCTTAATTCCTAACACGAATTTTCTGAAACACACAATCCGTCCGGTCTCCCAGCCTCTAACTTTATTTAGGACGTAACACTTCAAAGGCAGGTTACAGTCCTATCCTCTCTTCATTTCCCTCACAGTAGTTGCTGTTCAGTGGATCATCTTGTTTCATGTTCTGAAACAAGATTCTAAGGTATTTGGCACAACTAAAATGTTAGCAATACTCATAAAAGTGTGAAATCCATTGTAAAACATCCAGCCAAACTACAACACTTTGATGGTACAGCTATCAAAACAGAAACAGAAAAGCACATCTTAAATAAAAGGACACTCTGAATAAGCTAAATTTTCTTGGCAGTTTGATATAGCAAAAGAATAAAATGGAAGAAAACCAGACAAATTATTCTGTGGGAGAGATTAAATTATAAATCACATCATTGTACTTTTGTAAGCTCCCAGTTTACAAATAGAAAACCAAAGTCATAGAGAAGGAAAATGATGGAATTAGCCCAACTTCATCCCTATAGAAGGATCCAGGAGTCCTACACTAGCTATACAGATAAAACACTTACAGGAAGCAATAAATGAAACTGGGAAAAAAAATCCCTGGAGAGTACAACCTTGCCACTAACATTTAACATGTTTTAAAGGAATATGTCAGTATCAGAAGACATCAGACACTTCAGATCTTTCATTAATAAGCAAACTTGGTATGTTCTCAGTTGTAGGAAGCAGGAACTTTGGTCTATACAAAACCAAGCAACTTTAATTCAGTAGCTGACACCACAATTTCTTTGATTTCAAGCATAGTTTGTTGGTTTTAGTATCTGCCATCCTCTACTCAGAAACAGAAAAGGCACATAAATAAAACCCAGCGTCCGTATTTCTATAAAGGGGAAATGCGAAGAAGTAAGCTAGGAATGAAGCAGACAAAACTAATACCTTTCCACTGAGGGAGTTTGCCTAAAGATACCTGCTGAGGTATCTTTATCAACCACATTAAAAATTCTTAAGGCTATCCATAGACCTGATGAGTTTTATTGTATGGAGGAAAAAAGGCATTGCAATAGTGAAGGGACACTATGCTGACAATGAAAAAGTTGGTGAAACATGGAATTCTCTATGTGTGCATATACAGTAAGTCTGTACTATGCCTTTTATTTCAGTTAATATCATGCTTCAAAGCTATTCAAAACTGGTTTTAAATATAAAATGTATTTTGAGATTTCTTTTTTGTCCTTGAGCAGTGACACTTTGAAGATATCGTTAGTTAAAATTCTAAACAGGCTTCAAAGGTAGTACAAGATGCAAAAGAGTTCCATAAACAATGATCCTGCAGCTCGGGGAGTCCTTCAATGAAATTCAAGTCCATTCCCCTACTTCACAAGAAAAATGACCTTCACAAAATGTCACTGCCAGCAGGCAATGTGATTATTAAAAATGTATAGACTAAGCAACAAAATCTGAAAGGGCAGAAAGTCCAAACAGCAGTACAGTCCTTAACAGAAGTTTCTAAAAATACTTATTTTAAAATATATATGCTTATACTTATTACTGTAGGCAGACTTCTCCAAACAGGGGAACGCTTCCTGCCTTCCTATTTGCAGCCTGACTGGATGGATGTAACAAAAAAAGGCTGCTGTTAAGTAAACAACTTTTCCAGTAATATCTGCTCTTGAAATTAGCCACTGGAAAGTCCACTTTGGGATGTCCTCAAATAACACAGTTTGAATTGTGCAGTGTGGAGAAACTGAAATCACCATCACACTGGGAAGCACACTCTTAATTAGTTATACATATATGGATGGAATTAGCAGTTCTGCAGTGATTTGCAAATACTTTGTGTCTATCTGTGACAACTCTTTGTTTCACCTAACAATGTACCAAAGTGCTGGTGGCCAGGTTTTCTAATACCTCTTTCAGGTTTGAAGGCAGGGTGAGAGAGAGATGGCAAAACTAGATTTTCATATATGTTGGGCTCGTAGCTAACTGTCTGGTACCAGCATCTACCTGCATGCAAGCTATTAAAGAATTAGTGACTCAGCATCTTCACATTTTACCAGTACTCTAGCAAGGCTGAATTAATGTCGTTAAACTTTGTTTTATGGGCACTTTTTTCTTGGTAGGCTCACCATCAGCCAGCTTTTGCCTGCTGCAGGGGACCATCGTGTTGGCACAAAATGAATCACAAATCAAAGCTGATACCCCCGGGTCTCTTAGAACGGCAATGACGACGCTACTATGTGGGCAGAAACAGAAAAAATGATGAGATTTCATTCAGAGCTGTCACACTGATGCCTTCATCGAGACTGAAGCTAGACACTGATTCTTCAAACCTGGGGCTGATGACTGTATAAAAAGTAGGTGGACAATACTGAAGAAAATTTGCATAAAATACTAAAGGCAGTGTCCCTAGTTTCTCCCACATACGGTGGTAGTGCAAGGAAGACAGGTGCATACAAGATGGAGGTGGAAAAGCAGGGTTCCACAGCAGTGGAAGCATTTGAAGGTAAATGCCAAAGCTCAGGAGAGAGACACAAATGCAGAAAAGACAGTTTGGGCATTGCAAAGAAAGGAGAGGTCTGTGGTTTAGACAGGAGAAGGGAATGTTGGAGGAAGGAAGCCTAAACAGAACAGAAGGATTGCAGAGGGAAAGTCCAAGCAGCAGGACTGTCAGAAAGGCAGTAGCGAGAGTAGAGCGAGAGCAAGTGACCAAAGTGAGTGGAAACAAGACTGCACGAAGTGGTTTGGATGGACAATACACAAGGGAGAAACTCAGGAGAAGGAAAAAGGACATGATAAAAGTGTCAGGCTATGGGGGAACCAGGGAGAGGGACAGTGGGACTGAAATAAAGCAGTAGTTTCTCCTCCAGAGAGGAGTAGAAACTAACAAATAATTATTTCACTGGACTAATTCAGGACTTACTAACAATGTCTATGAGAGCAGTACTTACATTTCATTGCTATATGAATAAATGCAATTTAATTTAAAACATAATTTTGATTGTTTTCAAAGTGCCTTTTTATCAGAATTAGGGCATTATGTTCCCAAACCAACTGATATCTAAAAATAGATCTTTGACGTAGTTGTGGCTGCTTAACAGATGGCTCGCTGCCAATTGGTTTCACAGAGTTCTTTGCTGCTTCACTGCCTTTCTTTGCCTCCATAAAAATTACGTTAGTTCAGTTCCTATCTTGTGGAAGCCCTCCAGGCAGCTTCTGGAGGATATACCCACTGCAGACTGACATAATTAAAAGACCTAGAACTACCCTTCTTGAAATGTTCAAAAACTCCTTATCTTTGTCTTTCAGGTACTAAAGATAGCAAAGTTGGACCTCTTAATAGTAAGTAATGATCTGAGACATTTCATATACTCTTCAACAGTTTTAGGATGGTGACATAGTTTTATCTCTTCAACTAAAATGCAAATATGAGACTGAGAAGTCATACTAAATTTGATTAAATTAAGATGACTGAGGCTGCCTGGTTTGAAAACATTACTTATGTTGAAAAAGTTCAAATCTGTGACTCTGCATAGCATATCATAAAGCTATTTATGCAAATCAATGGACAAATTTGAAGATAATTTATATTTAACAGACTACAGAATTAACATAGATAACATTTTATTACCTATTTGAGCTTTCCATTGAACACGGAAGTCTTGGAAGGTCCTAAACAAAGAAATACTTGTATACCCACTGCAATAGAGCTCACAGATCACAGTCACACTTCAGAAGACTGGACAATGAACTATGGAGACCGATCAGTCAAATATGCAACAGAAGTATCAGTCACGTCTGTCAACCAGTTGTGTCATAAATGTACACCTGAGAAACAAATATTGCATATCTCAGCTTGGATATGAGATACCTTCTTCAAGGTTATTCAGAACACCTCTGCTGGAGATAACATGTGTGCCTGTAATTTCTAGTCACAAGTCAGCTATTTCAGCTTAATTTCTATTTCCCTACTCTTATTTTGCAAGGGAGAAAATAGAGCTTACATGGAGCTAGACTGATTAGAGCATCTCACCTAAAAATCACTTAGCTATTGCTTCTCTTAGTACAAGAAGAAATATAAGTTGTAGCAGTTGTTTTATTTCAATACATTGAAAGGTTTTTTTATTAGGATCGGTTTGGAGTCACTCATTCTCACCGTCATGCTGTATTTCCTTGCATTTTTCTTATTCCCTGCCCACAGTAACCTGCATGATAATATTCTATGTCTTACGGGTGAAAGGCTTGACAGGAATCGTGCTCTCTGATGTTCTCCAAAATCAAATTTGTTTGGCTAATTGCTC